TTATAATATATCTGTCTAAAATTAATTATCTAAATTTAGTTATTTTTTTAGTTATAATATATATCATTAAATAGCTACTGTGTAGTTGCTTCCAGCAATATTTGACATAGTTTTCATAAAAACAATCGTAGAGAGAAAAATCTCAGTAAAAGCATTAATCGATACAACATCTAAATCCAATACTATTAGCAAACGCTTGTATAATAAGCTTGAAGAAGATTATGGGTTAGAAGGTATATTTAGTGATGATTTGATAGGCAAAGAAATAAAATGCTTAGATTTGCAATTTCGGTATAAAGAAAAATAGCAAAGCTTAGATGGTACTGAAGTAATAGATTTTCAAATTCGCAAAAATCTATCATTTGATTTGGTGCTAGGACGGAATTGGTTATGGATGCGTAAAGCAAAAATAAGCTTTGGATATTCTCCCAAAACCTGTGTCCGCTATGCTAAAATTGTAATCGATGGTATGAGTATCCCATTAATTGAAGAAAATAGTAATAAAGCCAGCTCTAGTAAAAATAATTTATCTTATTCTAAAACAGAAATCGATAAACCTGATCTAAATTTAGAAAAGTTTGTAAATATGTTTAAGAAATTATCTATAGAGACTAATTTATCCAGTTCCGATTCAGAATCCACGGGTTCAGACTGGTACGATCTTGATCTAAAAAAAACTCTGAAAGAAACGCATCCATATTACAAAGAAAAAGGTTATCTCTTCTAGCCGAAAACATTGTAGAAATAAGCCAATTAGAACTAAGTAATCTTTAATTCAGAAAATTATTATGGGTAGAATCAACATAGAAGTATTTTAGAGAAATGGCATATTACTGCGTGACATTACTGCATTGCAGGCCCCGAAGGGGCAACCCTAAAGGGTCAAAATCACGTAAAAATAAAATATGGGAAGGCCACAGGACCCTCCTTCTTTATTTAATAAAATTTTTTTTTACCAAAATGGGAACATACAAATAATACAAATACAAATAAAAAATCAAAATCCATAGTAACTACGAGGTTTTATTATTTTTAAAAATATTATAGGATTGATATCTGGATAATTACATAGAATTTCATAATCAAGAATTATGCCCACACCAGATAGCTTTTTTTGATCACTTTCTGGATTGGAGTCATTAGTCTTAGGGGCATTACTATCATTGGTCTTGGAGATATTGTTGGTCTTGGAGGTATTATTATCGTTGGTCTTGGAGGTGTTATTACTGTTGGTCTTGGAGGTGTTATTACTGTTGGTCTTGGAGGCGTTACTATTATTAGTCTTGGAGACGTTACTATTATTAGTCTTGGGGGCATTACTAATGTTGGTCTTGGGGGTAGTTTTTTTATTACTACTCATTTTTTCGTTTCTAAATAAAAAAATATAATAAGTAAAAATTCGGTTTCGCAATCTCCATTAGATAAAATATATACTACTTTAAAAAATAATTTTTTTTTTTTTTTTTGGTGTTAAGGTGGCCTCTTGGCCGGCTCCTTTTATTCGGTTATAGTTAACTTTACA